CAATTGCAATATGAAGAGAGACTAATACTTCTTTTTATGCATTTACTTTTATGATGTCTATTACCAACCAGAAGAACAAAGATAAATTTATATAAAACAGCAGAAGATAGCACTTCTACTCTATAATACATTTTTCTATCATACATTATGCTTCCTGTTCTGTCTTTTATTTCATTTTCTGCCTCAGTATGAACAATATTTTAATCCTTTATGGTTTAACCTAATACAGGTCTGGCCCTAGATAGTTTTTCTAAAACATTATCAGTAAATATTACTTATGAATAGCTTTCAACAAGTTCAGGGCTGCCATTTATTATAGAAATGCTTGAATGATTCAAGGTTAATAAGATTCATCATACTCACAATGAGGATCTAGTTGTGGACACAGCTAATTGCTAAATTTTATTCAGCCATAAATGGCATCAGTAGCAAATCAGCTCACAGCTGAATACTACTGGCAGCTTTACATGGGAGAAACATAATGTCACTTTGATTCAAGTTATTTTTATGTATGTTATGATTCATTTACAGTAGTTCTGATATTGATGCTCAGATGCTGGGTATTAGATTCTCTTTTCAAAGAACAAAAGAAGGTGAGAAACAAATCTGAAGACATTTTAAAATGTCCTGGTAACAAGTCACAGTTAAAGGTTTTCCATTCTTATCTTTCAGTGAACAATTCTAATTCTCATACAATGGATATGACAAATTCCTATTAGAAAGATTTTCTTTTGGCAAAGTTTAGAATTCTGAAAATAGTCTCTTAATGGCAGTGCCCACATCCTCCTAACACCAAAATAACAGCACTGTGATGTATTAATCCCTCATGGTAACAGGCACCATTGAAGCTGAACTGCAATTTGGCACACAACATTTCTACACTAATGTAATGTGACAGTGTTATTATGTTCACTATTTTCCATGTGATCATAGCCATATTCATCTTCCCCAATCTGACATTAAATTAGCGAGTGTGGTTACATTCTATTCTGAACCACAGGGAAGATACAGAAAGGGATTACTGTAGCACGGTGGTCTGATGACGGTGTGGGTGTGCACGCAAGCATGAATAGGTGATATGCAGATTTAATGCAGTGAATGTAAACTCTTAACACACATCTGGCATGCAGCATGCACTCAGAAAGCAGTTACATCCAAGAGAAAGTTCACAAACTTAAGTGATAAGTGCAAAAAGCAGTTGCTCTAAGATTTTAGACGAGGGGAAGCAGACCCAGCTCAGAGGATCTGGAAGTTTTCATGAGATGAAACAGTTTAGGTAAAGATTTAAAAATGAAATTACGTTTCTTCAAGTAGATATAGTGAAAGGAATGCATTCTAGGTGGAATGGGTACATTCCCCAGGAGGAGAAATTAGCATAAGCAGTGGTGAAGAAATGGGAAAAGTGTAATGTTGCCCAAAACACTGGGTTAACTGCCAGTAACATGCCATATGGACAAGGTTTTTTTCAATAGATAAGAATAAAAAATGAAACCTAGGCTCAGACCGTGAAGCTTCATGAACTCCAAACTGATGAATTTGGAGAGAGTAGTGTCAGCCACTGAGGATATACTAGAAATCCTTACGAAAAATGCATGCATCTAGTCAACATTGATTTAGTGAGTTACCACTATCACCAGTACATGTAACATGAACATGCACATAGGTGCAAAACACTGGGCTGATCACACCTCCTGACCAAAAAAAGAATTACTGCTCCTGGGAGATAAGACCAAATATAAGTAACTATAAGGTAGAAAGTAATGGCTGATAAAATAACATAAACAAAGTTCTATACAGGTCAAAGGGGGGAAAGCATTTTCTCTGTTAGGAGAGTCAGGAAGAGCTGGCGATATTTAAACTAGGGAGAACAGGAAGAAAGAACAAAACTGGTAAGGAGACATAGGATGGACTGGATGAGGGAGGATTAGAAGGGGGAAACTCAACCAGGATATTGCTACAATGAGCCAGAAAAATTATATCGGGGACCAAAAATATGGTATAGATATGGAAGAATTAAGGAGTTACATGCAGCACCCTACACACACGCACAAACACATACACCTTCAGAGCAATTATTTTTGTCAATGAGTAGGTTATTTAGATGGCAACTTTCCAGGAAAGACAGGGTTTCACAAACACTTTTCTTTAAAAATAGCCTTTGGCATCACTTAGCCTAAGTACCACTTGTTTGGAAAGATTCCTTTAACTTCATTAATTAGTATGATTTATCCAAGATTACACTTACAAGGGAAAAAAGTATTCCCATCATCCCATTGTTAATTATGTCTCCAGGCTAACATAAATAAATTTTTCTAGTTACTCTAACTCTATGAAACTTATCAGAGATGATATTTAGAAGGTCTATGGAGGATTGGAGTAGGGGAATCTCATTTGCAATGTGCTGTTTTTTCTCTTTCCTTAAAAAACAGTTTTGTTTCTATTTTCCATTCTTTTTTTTATTTGTTTGTTTTCCATGCAGTTGACAGCTACAGTCACAGAAATTAAGGATAAATATCTAAACTGGAGAAGAAAATTTCATTAAGAAACAAAATGTCATATTTTGCTTTATTTAAAAATTAAAAGTCATCCTCTATACAGAAAAGGAGCTTGTTAAAATGGAATCACACTTGGCTTATGTGTATAACTTAAAGAAAAGCAGTGAGAGGCAGAGATAAGGTTTATTTTGATCAGTTTAAAGAGTGAAGAAACTGCAACATACCACATTTATTGCTTGTTAATTGCATGTCTTCAAGGTAACTGTCACTATAGTACAAGAGTGACAACTTCTACAAATTGATATGAAAATAAGATTTGCTTTTAAATATTGATCTGTACCTACATAGCCTCACCACCAAAACACCAATGTATAAACCAGGAAAACTACTTCACATTCCCAGAAAACCCACAAAGAGGTAATGATTTAATCAAAATGCATGTATTCTGAGAGCCCTCCAAAGTCATTTTAATGCTGATTTGTGCAAGAGGCATATCAGGAGACCTAATGTCATTATTGAATGACAGTTACCTTATTTACAAGAAAATAACAAATAGCCGTATCATTGTCATCACCACTACTATCACCCAAGAGCAGCATTCAAATAATTTTCTGTAAAAAATGATCCGAAGACAGCATGATACTTAAGGAAGGATCTCCATATTCCTTTAGGAAATGTCTAGCAAATACATTGGAGACAGAAATGGCAACCCACTTCAGTATTCTTGCCTGGGAAATTCCATGGACAGAGAAGCCTGGCAGACTACAGTTCATGGTGTTGCAAAGAATCAGACATGCCTGAGCGGCTAACAACCGCAACAGCTAGCAGATAAACAGAGGAAATTAAATTCTTTATACTTAACTCATATAAGAGGATACACAATCTGACACAACCAAGAAACAACCATTGTGTAAAACATGGAAACTAAGCACAAAATTTGGCAGAGAAATTCTTTGCAAAATGGAAAATGGTTCCATGCAAAAAAAAAAAAAAAAAAAGCGCTCAGCTACACATGTCAGGATCGTATTCAGGGTTTTAAAACTGTCATAATGAAATCATAGCAAATTATCAGTCTTCTGTTTGTCCTTGAAAGTAAGCTGGTTTTATTTTCTCTAGGGCAGGAGCAACTGCAAGAAGTTACTGTTCTATTTATATCCAAACATGTGTTTATTAAAAGGATATATAGGTTCTCTGATTTGCTTTGCTCTAGGTACATATAAGTAATTATTGAGTCTTTACATAAGGTTATTTATATAATTCCAAGTGTGGCTTAATGTTTGTAGGAGTGATTTGATTTTTAGAAATGCAGTGTTTGCAAATGTGTGATGGTTAGTATATATGCTTGTGGCTTCAAGTTTCTTGTAATTCTTGTAATAGAAAGGGTCACTGGTAGGATGAAGACTAAATAGTTCTCTTTCTGTTATGATGTGATCTTTACATGCCTCCTCCAAGGATTGTTTACTTTATATTAGTCACTTGTTCTTCCTACATTCACTGTCAGATAGGAGACTACTAGGCTACAACTCGATTCGATAACATATTTTAGTTTGACCCTATCTTCAACACATACACATATCTACTGACATGAACAGCCTCAAATAGATAAAGGTCAAAATGAACAAACTCTAGTCTTTCTTTAAATCCAAACTCAAGCTCAGCTTTCACCTGGAAGCCCAAACCTTCAATCACCTCACCTGCTCTCCCACCATCCCATCCTAGAGCTTTTCTTAAATGTAGTAGCATTTACAACTTTAGTATGGAATTCTATTTTACAACAGAAGGCTTTGTCAGATATATTTTCTCAATAGAGCAGAATGCCATGAGTTGTAGGAAACCCTTTTATCATATAGATGAAGTATTGTAAAGCAGTACCTATTGGAAAGTTAAGAAGCAGAACTTCATCCCACATGCCAGTTAGTTTGGTCTCAAAATTCAGACTGCTATCACATAAATTAGGCATTCACAGATATTCCATAATATATTGTGAATGCTGTGTTTCTTTACCATGCTTATATTGTGAGACTGAAGGGGAAAAAATACAAACACAAATGGCTAAAATATAAGGGAGGATAGTTGAAGGACAAAATTTAAACATACTGTCTGTTAACTTAAAAAATAGAATGGGCTTGAAAAGATGTAGAGAGAGAAAAAAATGAGACCTGTTAATTCACTAAAATTCCAGCTCTCAAGATATAATCTTATGAAATTAAATATTACTTAATAGAAAGCAACATGAGGCTCTTTCAAAAATTACGGAAGAAGTGTCACATAAAACAAAGGATAAAATTATTTTCAACAAGGTATCCACTAGCAGTTTAAAAAATTCCAACAAAGAGTCGAAGACCAAAGAATCAACCATTATCACAGATTTTGGCAAATGGCATCTTTGATTGATACTTTAGTATTTCAAACCTGTCCTTTCTGTAGGACCCAATGCTTGTTCTGGTTACAACCATTTAACTTATTCCTGAATAATATAAAGACTCGGAGCTTTAGCCTGGGGTATCAAATAGTATCCGGAAGCAAAGGCAAGCGTGAGTCCACACGCAGGTACTCACGGTCGTTGCAGAGTGGCCCGCTGAAGGAAGTCATGCTGCAGTCACAGCTGAAGCCATCCCACTGCTGCAAGCACACACCTTGGTTGGAACATGAGTCCTCCTGGCAGGTTGTGCTAGGCCCTGAAAAACAATCCAAAAGAAACTTGGGTTCTTTAAAAAAATCCAAAAATGTTTTACACAGGAGCAAGGTCACATACAGTAGTTGCCAACACCTCAAATTGCATGACCAAACTAGTTTGGAAAGTTCTAGTTCACACACCTGAATTAGGAACAGAGAAGTTGTCATATGAAGGTTTTCTGGAATTTCAAATATAGGACAAAATACGTTATAATAGTGAACTAAACCAACAAATAGTAAAAGCAAGCACATAGCTTCCAGTACGATCATGGTAGCAGGTAATCTCATTCCATGTTCAATAACTCTCTCTCACTGTTTAGATTTTAGAAAAATGCATGGAGCTCCTTAACTTCTGACCAATGGGGAGAGACACCATGAGAGATGGAGATTACACCTTTCATGAAACTGAGATAAAGATTGGCAAAAAAACTGAAGAGAGTTGTGTGAAAATGTCCTGCAAGTTTCTAGAAGTTTTCCTGCAGAAACTATGAATAAAGTTATGACTGTTGGTGTTTTGGATAGGTATGTTGGCAAGTATCAATTCACATGCTTTAACAATTTCATGCAATCAAACATAAAATTAAAAACTGTATAAATGACATGCCCCCATTTAACATACAGGTAAAAAGAACGCTAGTCTATTTCTAAGGAATCATAACTAGAACACTGAAAAACAAAGAACTAAAAGAATGATCAAAGCACTAAATGTAATCACTCTACAAACATATTCAAGACTGAAAGCCTTTATGCAAACTATGCTACAAAATAAAATTTCTTACACAGCATTCAAGAAGGGAAAAAATTAAATCTATACCCAAATAATGGTTACTGCAGAAATATAGAATATGTTATTTTGAGGTTTCCACTGTGTATTATGGGGTTTCAGTCTTGTTTTATACACACAGGGCTATCTACCTTGCAAGTCAGCTTTCATCAATGCAACTTTGTCAGCAAAATTAAAAAAAAAAGCAAAATATATTAAATGTTAGTAAGCAATACTGAAATGGGCAAACACAGAAGATTCAAAAAAGCATGCTGTTGTAAAGGGGGAGAGAAATGCTATGTAGAGCAAACAAATTAATAATTAACAGCCATAAATCTTAAGCCAAAAATGAGAAAGCAATAATTGATTAGAATTTCACTACATATGTATTCATAAAATGGTTAATTGAGCCAATGACATGTAATGAAGGAAAATTAAGAGGGCTTTTGCATGTTTTCCTCTCTTGGATAGATATGAATGCATTGCCAAAATGATTGCACTGCTTAGCTGAAGCATGCAGCCCCACTTATCATGTGTAGATACAATGTATATGATAGTCATTAGCAGATCCTTTCTATTTTTTTTTCCCCTCTGGGTCTTTTCTCTTACTATTGCAGTTAAGGTTTAAAACTGTAATGACAGCCATTCTCTGCCGACACATGGAACTTACAGTGACACCAAACTATCCAAATGTATACAACATCATTTGGAGTAGATGAAAGAAAAAGTAAAGAATGGAAGAAGCAAATTGCAATATAATTCCTCATCAAGAAAATTCCTTTACAAGATTGCAAGGTGGAGTATTTATCTTTGCTTTTACCACACTAGGTTTTTATTGCTTACAGGTCTCAGAGTTACATCTATATTTTCCCTATCTTTATAACTGTCTTCAACTCTTACAAACTGCCCTGTGAATATTTATTACAGTAGAACCTCATTAATAAGGGTTATCTTAGAGATGGGTAGAAAGGGAACAACATCTATCTCAATACCTTTAGAGTATAAACTGAAGATATTTTCTAGCAAACACAATTTTAGGTTTTATGAAAACACAAAAATAGATACCAGACTAATTAGATGCTATTAACACTGAGAGCCTTTGAGGTAACTGCTTTAGTGATTACATGAGAGTTATCTGTAATTAGATTTTGTACAAACTGATGTTTTTATAAATGCCAATTTTAAACATCCTCCTTGCAAATATATTTCTATTAGAAATTTCTGAGGCACGGTATTCTTCATAAAAAGTATTGAATGTAGCCTAAACTATATGAATATTCAAACATTTAGAAATCAGTATTAACTACTAATTGTATCATCATAATCATAATCAATATAGTAATAACAACAAAAATAATAGTTGCTTTTAATAATAATAATAGCTAGTTTTCTCACTTATTACATCAAAGAACCAAGGATCACTAAATTGCTCAGTTTTTGTTGTTTTTTTCAATCTGTGAGAAGTAAGATCTTTATTCCATGGTACTAAAGACTGAAATAATTAATGGTTGTTAAAAAAAAAAATCTTAAAGCAGTATTCCTTAGTGCAGTCCTTTCTAAGCACAAGCCCAGCTTGGGTTAGGGGCAGTGTTATCAACAATACTGTTCCCCTGACTTGCTCAGCAGAAGGAAAGAGCAGAAACAAGACCTGAGGAAGAGCTATGCTTTTGCTTTTATCTTTTTGTTTTTGTAAAAATTATCAGAAATAGAACTGTAAAATAATGCTAAACTCTAAAAATAGTAAAGTTGCAATTTTGAAAAATAACCTGCCTCTCCATATTGTACAACAGCTACTCAGAGTGCCTGCCAAGTCTTCATGTGAGCATAAAGATACGCTTTATTATTTTTTTATTATCACAACAGTTTTTTATATTTTCAGGTATTACAAGAGAATTCAGGCCTATGCCTGACAAGTCACATTTTTCAAAGAACTCACCTTCTAGAACAATATTTAAACCCTGGCAGGCATTTGCACGAGACAAAGCCCTGGATTTTTCTTTTTAGTTCTATAATGTTCTTTTTATTTTATCACTGAATAAAAATGGGAGCAAGCCACAAAGACTTTTGCACTAAGTGTTTGAAAATAAGGATATTTTTGAAAAGGAAAGGAAAGTGAAGGTAAACTACAATGTCTAGAAACCAAAGAAACAATAGAAAAAGGTGCTTAGGTGTCTGGGCTTTCAAATAAGGCAAACTTGGGTTCAAAGCTTCCACCATCCACTTGCTGTGTGACATTAGGAAGATCACATTACATCTGTAAGGCTCAAATTGTTTTTTAGTTCAGTCGCTAAGTCATATTTGACTCTTTTGCAACTTCATGGACCGCAGCTTGCCAGGCTCCTCTGTCCATGGATTTTCCCAGGCAAGAATACTGGAGTAGATTGCCATTTTCTTCTCCAGGGGCTCTTCCTGACCCAGGGATGGAACCTGCCTCAAGGCTCAATTTACTCCTCTAAAATAATCCAATAATACCTAGCTGTTAGAGTCTTGAGAATTAAATGAAACTGCATAAATATATAAACTTATTGTTATCAGTGCTTGATCAATGGTAGCTTTAATAATGAAGCATTTCTGGAGCTTATAATGCAGTTAAAGAGTTGAATGTTATGAGTCAATGCAAGTGTCTAAGAGCAGATTCACTGACTTCATGTACAGAAGTTATCTTGACTCAGTATTGAGCTTAACTGAGTCTGATTATTGGTGCATTGCCAGTCTCTATTTTCTCTTATCTAAGCAGGTCAATGCCTTTCCAGGCAGTAATTTTCAGGGTTTGTTGTAAGGCCAAAAGCATCAGCATAAGTTAGGAACTTGCTAGAAACATAAATTCTAGAGTCTCATCCTAGATCTACCGAACCAAAAACTTTGAGGGTATTGTCAAGTGACATGGGTTTTAACAATTCTCCAGGTGATTTGAACACTTGCTCAGGTTGAGAAACATTAATGTAAAGAGAAAAGCACAATGTAAGCTCCATCTGCAAGCTAACATTGTGTCATGTAAATAAAATCAACTATTACTCACTGAAATAAGTTAGAGAGAAAGGCAGCAAGTGATTATTGTGAGAAAACCAATGGCTTCTCACATGAAAGAAGCTTAGAGATGTGTGGGTCTTGTTGGGTGGACATGGTGGAAAATCATGGGAAGATATTATAATTAAGTGATGTCAAATTTATACTATTTCTGTTAATATTAAAATGGGGGTTTAGTGATTCTGATGCAATTTGAACTCAAAACCCCATAAGACAATCATTTTTAGAGAAACAATTCATGGAATATCTAGAAATTGATCATGAAAAATATGTGCATTTCATCAATTACACCTATGACAGGCACATCTGAGATTATTCCGAGGGACCACAGAGAACAGAAATAACCATAAATTAAAAACTGTTAATCTTGATGTTGGAGTGAAAAAAATAGGGAAGTATTAAGGCAGGAAGGCAGTAACATGTCAACATTTTTAAAATAAAGGAAAAGGGGGTAAGAGAGGGTGAGGATTATTAAAGCTCAGATATTAAAGCAAACTAGATAAAGTAAGGAAGGAAACTGCTATAATCTACTGAATGATTTCAGATAATCAAACCATAGTTTACAATTACTCAAGAGGATTCCAATCAATCATATTAACCAATTCGCTCATTAGATTATGATGGAAAATAACACTGAATTTTATTCTGTAAATACACTTTCTCAGTACGTTTCTCATTAATTTTCCCTCCCACTCACCCACTCGCATTATGTGTCAGTGGTGGGAGGTCATGTGTGTGTGTCTGTTTTTCTATCTTGTGAGTGTTTAGCTGCGAATGTGTCTCTGTCTGTCTGCTCCCACCATCTCTTTATAGGTGAGAAATCATCAAGCAGCTTGTAGAAAGGCCTATTTTTGAAAAATGTTTTCAGAAGAGTTTGTAGTAACTTAAAAAAAATACATATATTCTCACTTATTAAATCACCTTCAAGGATCAAAGTTATGTCTCTCATTTCTGTATTCATCCACTAGAGAGAATTTATTCACGTAACAATTTTACTTCCTTTGTTAAATTAATGAAAGAACAAAGCACATAGTTTCTTTTTGTTTTACAAAAGTGTGTTATACCAAAATATGAAATAAAGAAATATGGCAGAACATTAAAAAATAGTTCATCAAAGATTTCAATTAAATAACCTATTATCTGGCATGATTAAAACACAGTTTGAATTTCACCTGACTTTTCAGGAAAATATATGCAGCAGAGAGGGGGGAAAAAATGTATTTTTTTAAATGTATTTTCAAATAAAAAATGTATATGTACTTAGGTAGTTGCTAAACCTAACAGCATTATTTTGTCTGAGAAGAAATGCTTCATAAGCTCCTGGGGGACAGGAATTCACATGTCTTCCTTCATTTCTCCCATGTGAAATTTCATTATGAATCTAAAATTTTCAAAATGGCCCAAACTGTATTCAACATTAAAGGAGAAGCAGCAACACCTTCAGAGCTACGAAATTCAGGATAATGCGATTAAATTGCATTTATGGAGGGATAAATGGCTCAAACAATCTGAGGTGTTGAAGTGAAAATTATCTAAAATGAAAGCGACAATCAAAAAGTACTCCTACAGATCTTAGTCTGATAGAGAACACAAAAGAACAGAAAGATACTTGAGCACATTTCTGAAGTGTGGAATATTAGCCTTGGGGAATAGAAGAAACCAATTTTTGCTAAAACAAACGTAATATATGGGAGACACTTGTGCTGTCATGTAAACACAAATCATATAGTGATTTGAGAATGAATGTCTGAATGTTATTTTCTTGTTGGGTCTTATTGAATGTAGATTAAAAAAAAAACAGTCTCAAGTTGATTAACATTTGCTGGAATAAATGTTTTTCTAGTTCAAATGGAGTATTTATTGAATGCTATAAAACAAGCATTGCAGAGCTGATTAGCACGCTAATGAGATGAACTATGGAATGCAAAGAAGTAGAAAAAAATCAAGATCCATAGATAGAGCTCCGTTTTAAATTTATTGAGCATTAGTGTAGGTTTGCAAACTGTCCAGAAAATTGAAGATGTATGGGATGAATAAGGATTTTTTAAGCCTTAAATAGGGATTTGGCCAATTGTCAGAAATGAAAATTTTACTGGCCAGAGAGATCTGTTCTCATTTATAGGTGGAATTAGAATTCTTTTGAGTGTGTTAACGAGATCTAATACCTTCACATCCTCTCTCAATCTGTCCATTGCAGAAAAGAGCGTCTGAGATGAGGTCTGGAAGCCGCCCATTTAGATCAACGGATGCCAGGCAGCCTTGAAAGCCCTCCTTGGCATGGACGAGCTTTGGCAACGATTTGTATGTTTCTTTGGCCACTCCTCCTATATACAAGTCACCTGTGGGAAGACAAAATTTGGGTCACAAAAGTAACTTGTCATTGACTTTAACCAACAGTAGGACAGGAAAAATAAATAGTAAGGTTTAGTTTTCATTAACTTAATTTTCAAAATTAATAAAATTTATAACTAGATATTTTCTTAAAAGCACAAAACAGTAGAAGTGTTTGACTGATACATCAGCACTAGAAGAAATTTCTAGAAGCTAGTTCCACAGAAAACTAAGTGGGCTCAATACAGTGTGGTCAAATGGAATGAACATGGGCCATGAAGAGGCCCCTGAATTAAAATCCAAGTCACTATTTACCAACTCCATGGCTTTGAGCACTTTCAAAAAAATTTCTCTGATAGTTATTAAGCTCATTTCCTCAATGGGAACAATAAAGTACATCCTATAAAGTCTGTGAGGATTAAATGAGATAAAATAATGGAGAGTATCAGAATAAAAATATGTAGTAAATATTAGAAGGTGCTATTATTATCAAATCTTAGAGAATTCTAGACTTTTCTGTTAGCTAGAAGCTCAACAAATTCTAAATGTCTAATGTCTAAAATTGCCTTTCCTATTATGCTTAAATCTATATCCTTGCTTGTACCTATCTTATTCACCAACTCAATCCCATAGTAGACTGTATATACCTGAATATTCCACCCCTTTTCAGGTATTTATTTATTTATTTATTTTTAGGTAAAGGTATACCACTTTGAATTCGTTATGCTGTTCTGGATCATTTAACAAGGCATCAATAACTTTTCCCCAATTTTATTACAGTTTCTAGTTGGACATTTTGGTTTGCTTTCTCATCTTCATGTCTCTAGGTTTGAGACTTCCGAACTTAATGAACCACAACTTAAAAAGCAAGATTGTAATCCAAGTTTGATTCTATTTCCTTTCTATCACCATTATCTAGATAGCACTGAATAGACGTAACTGACTGACTCTAGTAGACACTTAATCAATGCAAAACATAAGGAGGTTGACCATAAATTTTCTTGATTACTCATGTTTTTAAGTCCTGGTAACATATTCTATTTAGCTACTTACTTCTCTGAGTTTACATTGTCATTTGAATTTTGTCTCACATTAACCATTTTATTTAACTCTCATGACACCTGATACCTTCTCCCACTGTAACACAAAACTCCTACATTCTTAACGTTTTCCCGGCCCCTCTGTATTGTTTTCATGAGACCTGGGGCTGAGGAGAACTACAGGCTGAGGCTCACTCTGGTTGTTGAGCCATGAGTAATAAAAGCCTTGGTGTCTGACCCAGAAACTGTGTCTCTTGTCACCATCCACAAAACAGTAATAAGCTATCTTGGTAAGTAGGGTAAAAAGCAACACATAGAATATTCCTGGGCTGTATTGATGATGAGTAAACTGAGCTTGTTTAAAGTCACTGAGCCATAAAAACTGAGAACTTAGGTCCCTGACCCACTAACTAGAGCTCTAAATACTAAAGTAGGATGCATAGATCCTCCATAATTTGTACTGAAGGTACTGGGTATGCTTACTTCTGCTACTTCTTAAACAGAAGAAAACACCTATTGATTATTAACCAAGATTCCTAATATCAAAGGATGCCATGCTTTTGGTCTAAAGTAGGATACTATCTTTGAAATACGATTTTTTCTTCCATATTTCCTTTCTCTTAGTCTTTACTCCCACATTTCAAGTGATTGTGTTTCACTTGTCTCAGAGAAGGGACATGGATCAAAAATCAAAGGCACAAAGTTGTCCTTATGTATTTGATCTTTAAAATTCAAGACTTTTAAAGGAGTGAAATAGAATATAATGGCAATTACATGAGATAAGTAAAGCTTTCCTGTCCCTTGTGTGGGCAAGCAGGAGAGACGTTGGAGAAGTGTGAACATAGTCATTCCCAAAAAGAGGACATGGTGTTCTGATGTGAGGTCTGGTGGAGGTCAAAACCTCAAGTAGGCCGAGGAAAGTAAGAGAACCCAGAAGCAGCAATGGAATCTTCAAGAAGAAAGAGCTGCAGGGTAGACTTAGACATGCTGAGAGCTTAGTGAGCCTCACAGAGCTTTCCATATCCCACATGGCATGGACGCAACAGAACAATTCCCAGACTAGCACAAAGACGAGCAGAAAAGGGCTGGTCTGAGGAGGGCTTCCCCAGGGGCGCAGACAGTAAAGAATCCTCTTGCAATGCAGGAGACCCAGGTTTGATCCCTGGGTCAGGAAGATCCCCTGGAGGAGGGCATGGCAACTCACTCTGGTATTCTTACCTGGAGGATCCCAGGGACAGAGGAGCCTGGCGGGCTACAGTCCTTAGAGGTCACAGAGTCAGACTGAACTGAGAGACTAACACTGAGGAGGTTACTCACACAAAGAGCAAAGATGGTAAGTAGCAAGTCAGTGGGCACCCACGCTGTGAGTATAGATTATCTGAGACTAGCTCCTGTGCAGTCTCTCTCTAATCCCAGAATAGTGGTTCAGTGCAAGTCTTCCACCTTCAAATAATCTAGATATAATCCCAGGGAAATGAAGGAATGAAAAGTTCCTGAGGTTAGATTTTCACTAAATCAAAGACTCTGACTCCAAACAGAAGCCAAGGTGAGCTCTAGAAAAACAGAGACAAGTGCACTTTGTTGCTCATCTGAGATAGTGGACTGATTTATACTGTTAGATGTCAAATGCAAGGACCTACTTCCTATATACATGTGTTGAAATAAATTTGTTAGGAAATTTCGGTTTTCCTCTAGCCCTACTGAATGTAGTATTAGAGAACAGTGATAGCTGAATGAATTCTTGGCACTGCTTCAGGCTGTAGAACTTAGCACTCAAACTTCTGTATGGGATGCTATATAAATGATAACCAATCTTCTTCTTTTTCAATGTCTTTTAAATTTATTTATTTTATTTTTTGACTGTACCACATAGCATGTGGGATCTTGGTTCCTCGACCAAGGATCAAACCCACTTCCCCTATATTGGAAACTCGGAGTCTTAACCATTGGACCGCCAGGGAAGTCCCTCCTCTTTCTTACTATAACTTCCTCGAGGATAGAGACTGTGTCTTTGTTTTGAATTCTCCCTCAGTGCCTATTACTGGGTTATAAGCACAGCGGGCACTAAATGCTGTCAATCAGCTGATGGACTGAAGTCACGTAGAAAAGAATCAGAAAAGAATGAATGGCAAGGCAGCACACGGGGAGAGAGCTAATTCTAAAACGCACTTACTTCCATTCCCCACTTCCTACTATGTCTTACTTTTATCCTATTAGCATGCTTACTTTCCCAAATAACTTTTTAAAGCTTATTGAAAAGAAGTAGTAATCTTTCTCTTGTGCTGTTAAAGAGCAGAAAATATTGATTCAAGCCATGCAGGATACAAGCCTCGGACAAAGCAAGGTGGATGAGTTTGGCTTTATAAGCAGGGGATCCATTCTCATTTTCATTACTGAAGCTGCACTTAGCACTGCCACTTAATACAAGTCTTTATAAACTCTTCATATAGCAGATGGTGGTCTTAAGTCCCCCGGTGGGTTTCCATAGGAAGAGAACAAAGGAAACCTTTAAGTGGCTTGAGCCTTGTGTAGCATTAGCACTTCATCAAAGATGCAGCTTCTCCTTTTGATTCTTAAGGTGATGGAAGGAAAATGACCCATTAGCGATAATGGGATCTTGAAGGCAAAATCCTGTGCATGGAAAGGAAGCTGGGTTTTTTTTTAAAGATCCAGTGTGTGAATGATACCCAGGATGGACATCTAGTAAGAGTCAGTTTCCTGTGGACTTGAAGCTATGCTCTCACTCTTTCTTCAAGCTATGAGTGACTGGTTGATTTTCATTAGTATTCTTTAAGTAGGCCATATACAGAACTGACAAGGAAATGATGGAGCTGGGGCAAAAGAAGATACAAAGAACATGTACAAAGCCAGATATATATCAAGAAACCCTTATCTTTGTCACTAGTGTGGAATGCATGTGTGTAGGGGGTGTGTTTAACAGTCCCCTCTCAAGAATATTATCTGCAGAATGACCTGAAATGATACCACAAGTATCTGTTTCCCAGTAGCTGGGCAGTTATGAGCAGGAAATAGTGCACAAGCTTTTTAGTTATATCTGGCTACAGACCCTGGTTCTGCCATTTACTGATTGCCTCAGTGTAGGAACATTAAGTTATACAACTTTTTCAAGAGTCAGATTTTTCATCTGTGAAATGGGTTAATAATGCCTACCCTGTAAGGCTGTGAGGATCACAGAGAATGCATGCAAGCATTGGGCACAGAGTGGACTCAGCACATGACTGATACTGGTATGGCAGTGTTGGTGTGTGTGGTAAGAATTACCCATCGACAGTGCACCTCATTCTACGCTGACTTGCACTGAAAAATACAGAAGAATACAAAGTCTAAGTTCTCCCCTTGTTTCTAGTATAATTAGAGTGGTAAGATATGAACACACAAGTCTTATTTTCCTTGACTTAGTTTAGAGGCATTTGTGTACTTGAAGTGTGCCTTGCACTATCCAAGAAGCAGCTTGAGAGGATTCTTTGATATACTCCATTTGAAACCCAGCAGCATTAAACCTGGTAGCATAAACAGGACAGTTGCTAATGCATATCTTTTAATCTGACATAAACAGACTGAGACAGAAGGATTCTGTGAAGACCAAGGGCCAGGATGTAAGGTTCAGGCTAAATGTGTTTTATAAAATCAGAGAAATAGAAGGTTTTTATGGACATTGATTATAAGCTGGAGTAATATGAAAGAGTTTAGATCAAAAGAAAATATAGGATACCTAACTTTCAGTTCAGTTTAGTTCAGTTCAGTTGCTCAGTCGTGTTCGACTCTTTGCGATCCCATGAATTGCAGCATGCCAGGCCTCCCTATCCGTCACCAACTCCCGGAGTCTACCCAAACTCTTGCCCATCGAGTCGGTGATGCCATCCAACCATCTCATCCTCTGTCGTCCCCTTCTCCTCCTGCCCCCAATCCTTCCCAGCATCAGGGTCTTTTCCAATGAGTCAACTCTT